ATAATCTAAGAACATGCTATGATCAAAATTGCAATATCGAAATTCTAAAATGCTCTGAAAGCCATCACTGTATCCGAACGTTAAAGTTAAAGCTCCGGTAGCATCTGGTGTGCACATGGCCCAGTAGCGACATAAGAACGCATTCGAAGGTATAGGATACTCGATATGAACACGAGGTGAACGCTGAAAGCGACGTCATCTGGTCATATTTAATTGCACTAAATGCGGTCAAGGAGTTCAATCAAGATTGATGTTTGAAAAGCTTATTTACTTCATAGATTACCATCAAAATAAAGGAGTTTATATAAAGTTTAATTTATAGAGTCGTTTTATAAAACTAGTTTGAGCTGTTATCGTCTTGTAATTGTAATAATTTGCAAAATACCTATTTAAATAAAACAGTCGCACTACCAAAAACTGATAGGTAAATTAAATGTCAAGTTCTAACGGAATAAAGTATAGGAAAGAACAGGTCTGTAGTACAGGGTTTAAAAACAGTAGTATGTCAAATGTCTAAAGAAGGTAGATATTGACATAGTAAATTTCTCAGATGACAACAAGACAGCGAATTGTGTAGGTTGGGCTCATTGTGTTTGCCATGCTTGATGCGCATACGTCATGTCAAATGCCGCAGCAGTGAATTTTAAGGGCAACTGCGTGACCCCCGACCTCCATTCTATGCTATTGTCATGCTAATGATAAAGACCAGTTACTAATCGTCTGTGACCAAATTACATTTTCTAGTCAACTAACATTATGTTCCGAAACGGAACACAATATTATTGTACTTCAACTACACCAAAATACTTTCAACTTGCACAATGCGTCTGATGGGAGAACGAAATATGTTTGCTGCTAATAATTATTTGCTTAGCCCATGTGAACTACCAATTAGGTTGGATTTCAGCTGACTCACGGAGATAACTCTAATAGCTTACAGCGCTTGTATAACTTCGAATGACCACCGCGTTATTAACTTATAAAGATAGGTTCTGTTTGTTGCAACCTGACTCCAATCCCTGGATTATGAACTGACTACTGAAACTTCCTGCATAGATATGGCACGTTTCTCTAGAGCTTCCTTCCGTGATTATCCACTAAAGACCGGTATATACGATAGCGGATAATCCACTTAGGATGTGTTTACTTCAACCTACACGTAGATATGCTTGTTGAACGCACGTGGGATTGAGTGCGATTTTTTATAATAATTTTGATACAGTTTTTGTCAGATGCCATTAAAATTATTTACCACCTAGCCACGCACCTCAAACGCAAATTTTTCGGATGATGTTGTTATAAGATTCGCTACTCCTTCAAGGTCGAACATGTCGGTTAGTGACGCAACAGAAGTTAAACGAGTTTGAAGTAACGTATGTTGTTCATTGATAAAACCTTGTATGAGGTGAAACGAATGCCGGATAAAAATTGATCACGTAATTTATACTAACTTTGAGAGATAAGCACAATCTACATCTAGATTTTACAACTATAAAACCATATTAACGTAATTCTGTGATAAATAAAATATATGTAGTCATTATTATATTACTAGCACTCGGCTTTGCCCGCATGGGCCCTAGGGAATTGTTTACTGGGAAAGATAACTCTATAAGCCTAAATTAACATATAGGCTTAGAGTTATCCTTATACGAAAATGAAATCAAATTTCGTTCATTAGTTTATACGAGAAAGAGTAACAAACATACAGCCATCCATCCATCCTCATAAACTTTCGCATTTATGTTATTAGTAGAATGTAGATCATAGAAGGTAACGACAATTATTTTCGAATATCAATTCTGTATACAGTGCTTAAACATTTTAAACATTTTAGATAGATATTTGAATATCTATCTAGGAAACATTGGAAAAGTAGAATATCCGTAATAAAGATCGTAATACTAATATAATTTGTATCAAGCCTATCAAAATTTGCGTCTACAGAACAACATTGTACGCAATAGAGGCATACAATGCCATAACTATTCAAAACAAGTTTCGATTGTCTCTAAGCGACCGAAACATTGCGTGGTCAGAGCTATGATATTTATTTCATCTTGCAGCACACCATACCTACTCAATCAATAAATTCAACCGAGAATAAGAAGGTAGCAATGATATATGAGCAATAGTAAATCTACGTGTCACGGTCAGTTACTACAATGATCTTCTTACATTTCATACAAATTCGGCAAAACGATTTTTTGTACCTGAGAACCTTTACAAAATTGGTAACTCTATTATTTAATGCAGGTAAAGAAAGATCCCGTACGTTCAAAATAAATTTTTACTTATATTACCGTACTCTTCTTTTCTCTTTGAAAATAGTTTCAGATCTATAATATACACCGTAAAAATATAACATAAATAATTGACTTGCTAATAACAAGATCACGGAAATTATATAACCAAGAGACTTAAAATTTCCTCAGAAGTGCATACCGTAAAAAAAAAATTAAAGTTCGAATTCCTTGAGAGAAACATGTTAACAAAAAACTGACATAAACAATGTTGATAATTAAATCAATTTTTGTAGACTCTTTGTAGAATCTTTTAAAAAGATTCTTTTATGCATAATAATAGTAGATAATTCACAACAAAACGAAACTCATTGTGAATTTCATATTCAATTGTGTAGAAACTAAGAGATTTATTTCCAGTTCCTTCCTTACGGAAATTATTATCATATAAATACGGACAAAGTGAATTAGTAACAATGAAGCCATATTGCAGTTCTTTCCTCCAATCAAGTATACTGATTGCATTCGTATATATCATATACATCCTACATTGCTTTAGAAATTTGATGCCAATATTCAAACGTATATAACGTGAAAATATTACTGGCATGTTTCCAACATACACGAGCAATGAGATTTCTAATATTTAGGCCACAAACATTACTGTACAAGAAGGGAAGCTCAGTCGCACCTAAAAGGATAAAAGTTATTTTATATAGATTTTACGAGTTCATTGTCTTTGTTTAGTAAACACAGGATTGGGCATACCCAAACTACAGGGAACATAAAAGTACATGACAAGACACCTCGTAAAAAGAGAAAAAATGTTAATCGAGACTAAATAAAAATAGATGTAGTAACTACATACATTCTCATCAAAATGACATTACATAGGACAATAGTATTAATAAACTTTATTTATGAAAATTAGAAGACAATTCACTAGGCCGTTTAGCTTATTGAACGAATAAATAATGTAGGGGCGCTAGAGATCCCTGGCCAGTGTCCTGTATGAATTAACCTCAATTGACAGTGCCGAGTAGGCGCTTCGCTGATTGAAGATAGTATTTTGAACTGATGTATAAGCAACAACATTTGAATATAATATAGTATATGGAAAATAAATAAATCTGAAAATTATCAAAATAAATACATCTATTTACGTGTAAGATGAACCAATTATTATTAAAGTCAAATCAATCTTAGAAAGACACGTTGCACTACAAACATTGAATTTCAAAGAGTAAGCAGGAACCATAAACGGTGGACTGGCAAGCCACAAATGGACTATGATTAATGGAAAAAAAAAATAATGTTAAGTTTACAGCTTAAGTATCATCCGGTTCAGATAATGAGAATCTTTTGAACTATCCCTTTTGAGTTAAACCTCTTATATCTCTGATGTGATTGTTAAATGGAACAAGAAAGTTTGTATTCTCAAATTTTGTTTATGTTAGATTAAGTTTACCTACCTACAATGACAGAGTTAAGAGAGACAGTAGTGAGGTTGCGTAATTAGGACAAGGAACGATGTGCTGATAGCGTAGTGTCAACTCTTTGTCTTAAACTTTAGTTTAATAAAATAGATGGAACTTTAAAAAGACATTATGATAAGTTATAGATAAAACCTTTTAGACGTAATACAGGATCAACATTGCTGGGAGCATTTATTAAATACTCTTCAGAGCATTAGTAATTTACTGTTATTTAAAGAATTACTTCCAGTTATTTCCTAAATAAAGCTGAAACGTTTCAGACTTTCGGATTAACTAAAGTCGGTTTAGTAGTGCTAATCTAAGTAGTAATGATCATTATATTAAAGTTTGTGTATATAGTTTAAAATATATACCTAAATCGTAACAATAAAAAAATCATACTATTCAAAGGGATACCGCATCCCGCACATAATAATAACTTCTTCAATTTTAAAAATGCTCTTTATGATTCAAAAAAGTCTTTATCAAACTAAGTTTTTGCAGTGTAATCTGTTTATCTATTTGACTGCAAAGATAAATTTGTTCTTTTTACATGGCTTACGTGTGGTTATTATCATAGCCTAATAATGAAGTTACTGGGTTTCACGTTACTAGGTTCCTAACATGTGGCAGATAATTTAACATTATATTTTTTAACGAAGCAATTACTCCCTTTCATTACAGAGGTAATCAAATATTTGACGGCTGGCGTTATAAACTTCAGTAGTTTTTTTTATGACTAAAAAACACATCAAAGTAGATAAACATGAATTTAAAATTATCACATTGATAGTTTCTTAGTATAAGCTGCTTATAGATCTTAAATATTACCTAAAGTATAGGCATGGCTCATTGGCTAACTGGAGGAGTTTGTTTAAAAATATCTACAATTGATTTACTTTCGAAATTCATAAAATATTAATTGTTTCTTTTAGTATACTCAAAAATACTATATGAATAGTAACGGAGATGCAAGCTTGATCCGACAATAATAGGATATTTCGTCATAAAAAAGGGGGACGGTGTTACCTGCCGTACAAACCAAAACATTAAAGGAAACACACGAAGTGTTCCTGGTGCCACAAATAATAATACTTCCCTAGTTGTTCCCATTACATAATTATTATTGAAAACTGCAAAGAAACCAAGTTTCATCGATGAAACATACACGCGAAAACCAAAATGACACCCGGATGTCTTGACAACAAAACAACAAATCATAATCAAACGTGTTTCGCTCACATGGAGCAAGGAGAAAAGCACTCTTTCTAATAATGTGTACCAGAAGTAATTCACAAGGCACTAGAACACCAATAACTACATCAAACTTCACAATAGCATCACATTTATATTCACAAGTTATAGTTTATTTCGAATATTTATTTATATCAGGGCGATAGAGTCGTCGTTGCGTTCGAAACGCAAAGACGCATACGTCTACCCCGCGTCAAAGTTGGAAACGCACTAATCGCAATCGGGCCGTTGCTGTTGGTAACTTGATGTTGTTAGCCAGACGACTTCTTCGAAATAAGTTGTCTGAGTCACGGAACCCTAAGGAACCCGCACTACAGACCAAACTCGTCACCCATAATAATAATTGCAGCTGAGGGTAATTCGGGTGTGATCTATAATCCCTTTATATAAATTGACTTCAATAAAAATCGATTAGAGTTAGTGCATGATTTATGATATAGGGCGCTTGTGCACTACACTGAATTTTCAGGTCCGGCGGTCCGATTTTTTCCGATCCGGAATGACATGAAAAACTCGGATGAGTAGCTTGTGCACTTGTCCGTTTTTTTCCTGATCGGAGCGGCGCAGTGTAGTGCAGCTTTCTTTGAAGCTACACGTCACTTACGCTAGGTACGATGAGATTTTTGGAACGTCGGTAATTCCGTTCGAAGACGTAGAAAGGTACCTAAATAATGATCTGATCGTTTTACATAAACCATAATAAATTATGGCAAGACGAAAGCATTTTTTTTACTAGTATCGGATGACTACTATCAGATGTAAAAACTTATACCCTTACAAATTTAGGAACAGCATTATTCACATACAATAGCTAAAAATATCTGTGACATTAGTCTAAACGTAACAACACTTATTTATCTTACTTAAGCTATCGAAACTTTTAATACGATTCTAAAATCTAGCTAAGTATCGATACTAGAACCATATGCTGATCAAATTAGAACTATACCGAGTTTTCCAAAGCATATGCAGTGATATATACCAACTATATTAAATCATCATATAAAATATAGCATTTTATAATTAACAATAAATATCGATTATAACAGGGCTTCCCAAACTTATTTGTACTGTGACTCCCTTAGGTCTTTGCCATATTTTTACGACGCCCCACAACGCAGTCCCCAAAAATACTAACCAGTTTTTGTATGTACTAACCTAGTAACAGGTTATCAGGAAGACACGAATTTGACTTTTATATTTTTTAATAAATGAAAACAAATTCAAAACATAAGTCATAAGCATAAAAAAAGAGATGTAACTAACTGGCTGGCTCTAATAATATGGATGTGCTTGCTTTTCTGAGCATAGTTCCTTAAAACGGGGCTCCAGTAAAGTAAGCCCAGTCATATTGCTCCAGATTATCGAAAAAATATTTTTCAAAGTGTTCGCTTAGTGAGAGCAAGTGCTGTGTAAATATTATTTTTAAGGAAGGATCAAGGATTTTTATCGATTATTCTAGTAGAATACTTTGTAAAGCAATAAAGTATTCTACTAGAATAATCGATAAAACAGTCAATTACTTGATCTTCTAATTTTCTCTTCCATAAGTGTAACTGATTTTAACCCAGTAATTTTATCTGCCAATTGCAGGATGTGAGTATTGTTTCCCTGCAAACAATTATTAAGATCATTTAATTTGTTAAATATGTCACATATGTCCGCGTTCGCGTCGCGTTGACATTATGCATGCGGCGATCACTTGACTTAGTCGCATCGATATATCAACACGCGACGCCCCTGGGCCATTGCCGCGACGCCCCAGGGCGTCGCGACGCACAGTTAGGGAAGCCCTGGATTATAAGTTTATTGGAAATTAACAATATTGCCGAAATAAATATCGATTCAAATCGATTATTTTTTCCCAAGCCTATTGCCGAAATAAATATCGATTCAAATCGATTATTTTTTCTCAAGCCTATTCCTTATGAATTTTCCGGATCTCGGACACAGCAGTGCACAAGCGTAAACACGTTTTTCATTGCCGCCACCACGGACCTGAAAAAACCGGTCCGGAATAGAGAAAAGTAAAATTCCGGACGGTAAAATTCCTGACAGTGCACAAGCGCGCATTACCTACATATGGCCTGACATATCGGACCTGAAAAAATCGGACCGCCGGACATGAAAATTCAGTGTAGTGCACAAGCGCCCATATTCTACAGGCACAAATATTCCAAAAATATGTGTAAAAGGGTCAATAATGATAAAAATTCATCGGTGATGATGAAGATAATATGGCCAATGAGACGGGTCGCACACATTATCGCAGTCGAGGCACTTGTTGCGCAAGTGTGGCAAGCACTTCTGAAGATTTATGGGCCACGGACTCGAATTACATTTGATAACGTCCCTGCGCACATGCGGCAAACAACCGGGCTACACAAAGACACACGCTTTTTGTTTATACTTGGTTATCTCAAACAAAAGACAATAAATTCATTTTACCACTTAATTATGTGCTGAGAACACGTAAATATAGATATTAATCTTGGAAAAAAAGTTATGAGATTTTTCTAGTGTATCCCGATTTTCTTTAAGCTTTACAATAAATAAAGTAATAAAAACATGGAAATTACTCATCTATACCTCATATTTAATTTATTAACAAAAAAGCAAACAGATCAATAGATTTAAAAGTTTTATAAAGTTTAAGGACAAAAGATTGGTCGAGGTGGTTTTAAATTGTATTTTATGTATTGATTCACTAATTACCAAGAATCAGTTTGACACTAAGGTCTTAGGTTAAAAGAGTCGAACGACGAAAACGCTTATTTTATTGCTACTGCATTTTAACTCTTAGAATGAAATTAACAATATCAAAAGGTAAAAATAATACAAAACAAAATTATCTAAAATTAAAATGGACTAAAGTTCAAATCAAAATAAGTTATATCGAAATTAGACTCATAAAAGAAGTACACAGTATATATTAAACAAATCGTTTTCACAAATCAATCGCTCCAAATTTTTAAAACACTGACGCGACTAATAAAGGTTAACATTAACTGAAACAATAAGAACAATGAAGCAAAATGAGGCAATCGATACGTCACATCATTCTCATCTGGGTAGTTGCCATTGGATTCAATTAGAACGCATGTAGCTGTCCCGTATATTGTCTCTTATTAGTTTTTTATATAAACATACGACTTAAAAATGTGGAGTCAAGAAGACTTGCTAATCAATTCTACTAACTGAGCTACTAGAGAAACACATAAAGGAAATTACGGTCTCAATGACGAGATAACTGTCAGGAACTGGAAACGTAAAAAGCATTACTATTGCTTTGACACGGAAATGGAAGGGATTTCAAAGAAACGAGTGCTGTATTGATTGCTTCGAAATAAACAGGGGCTCTATTTTTGAATCATTCGTCTCGCGTCGAGCGCTCGTTTTCTACTGATTTTCGTTCGACTTAACAAATTCGCCATTTCTAAATCGCTCGACTGCAACGAGTGGTATGAACCACTCGTCGATTAGTGAACACTGTATACGAGTGATAGTAGAAAACGAGCGCTCGACGCGAGACGAATGATTCAAAAATAGAGCCCCAGGACTCTTGAATGTTCCGAACTACACAATGGCACCATATCAAGAACGATACGGCGACGTCGCTTGCGTTGAATTATTTATGCGGCGGTGTTGCTTTAACTGACCAGTAAATTAGGAGAACAAAAACGTCACGAGCGTCTCTCATTGAGAGACACTGCTTTTTCTTTGTCTGGAACGAATGAAACGGCCAGGTGTAGAGAAAATAAGAGTCTCGTCTCGTGCCCGTTTTTGATCAAACTTCAATGTTTGTCTTGTATTCGTAAATTTAGTATCAAATAGCATTAATACTATATAAGTTCTATATAATAAATATATTTTATATTTTTTTATGTAATAAAAGTATTTCAACCATTTCATTTTAATTCATTCATTTTGGTAAGTTTAGTTTTCATATGTTAGATAAGTTTTGCAATCACAATGCTATACTGGAAAACATTCTAAATGAAAAATGCTATACTGAGATTCGAACCCACTAACATTCGCAATCCGGGCTACTGTTTTAACCACTGCGCTACCCAGGAGGGAAGGCGAAAAGTCATGGCTTCGGATCCCAGCTCAGAGTACCAGGGACAAAGTGGATTTTTTAAACATTTTTAATGAAGAATACTCTTTAAATTTATCTTATTATGTTATCTAGTGTTGAAAATTCGATACAAAAAACCGATTAACTAAATTACGTACTGGATCTGATATAAGCTTCCAAATGAAGACATAATAAAGCGGCACAACCAAGAGAGAACTACATTTATTTTTTCCTTTCCTAGTTATAAAAACGGACATGTAATCTGCTCATGTGGAATAACAACTAATAGTTCATGATGCATATTAGCTTAATTATTACACTATTTACTATAAGTGCTGTAAGTTTTTTGGGTCGGTATATTTGCTTAACTAATACTTCTTTGTAGTTATTATTTTTTTCTACCCAAAAAACGACCAAATAGGGTTGGGGTACCAATTATCGCCAAGTCAACTTTTTTGACTTTAGCTCTTTGTCGTTTTTGTATTATTAGGTCACGCTTTCTTATAATGCTCTTTTTGAGTAGACAGATAATTAAACTTCATTGTTACGTTCGCGAAATTACGAATTGTTTTATTGTTTTCATAGGTATTTTTTCCGAGTTAGACTTAATATCGACCTCTAACAACCTAACATCTGCCGCCCATTATCGGAATACATTTTCAAAGTGGAAGAAAGGTCAATAAAATTACGTAAAAAAAAATAATCCTAATATTTTAAACTCTAATAAAGTAATAAGAGTTAAAAAAGAAAAAGCCTAATAAATTAAAGATTCTGCATTATACACAACAGCAAAACCCAATTTGCTGTAGTGTACACACCCAGGCCCGAGACAATATAGAAAAGTTATTCTCTACATATACCGATACCGTCCGGGAATCAAACCCGGGACCTCAGTCAGAGATAGCGACACCTTGTTACCGGCGTGTGAACAATTCGGTTACGGAGTCCGTCAAAGTTTGTTGTTTGAAATACACTGATGTAGATAATTAAGCGTTGCTGTTTGCGCTTGTTCGAAATTTATAAACAAACAATATCGTGACAGAGTTCGAAGAACGCAGAATAATAAACTTATCCGATCTTATGTACGATATAACATACAAATTATAGCTAAAGTAAGATCACCTATCTAAGATCGACAGTGA